ATCATAGACGTATTTAATTGCTATTCATTATAATTAAACGTAAGTTTATATATTTATTTCGGCAATATTTGCCTTATAATATATAAAAAAACAATAACTAAAATACGGTTACATATATTACAATCACTGTTTTATCATTAAATAATTCTTAGAAGAATAATATTTATCAGAATTTCAAGCCGTGGATAATTATATTATGTAAGATTTGAATTGCATATTTGTATTAAATACTGTATTACAAATTTTTGAGTTATTCTATGCATTAATGCTGTTTCACATACATATAGTATTTTCTTCCGTCGTTTTTACGGTTAAATATTTATATTTCTTCAATCTTTTAATATGTAAAAAAGCATTTAAATAATTTTGTTTAATATAACAAATAATATGATTTTGGAAGTTCATTTAAGTAGATGAATTCGAAAAAATTAATTAAAATTAACACAGATTGCAAAATGAGTTTCGTCGATTAAAAAAATGAACAGAAGTAAATATGGCAGATGTTTTGTTTACTCTCTTAATTCGCAGTCATTAAAATACAATAGCGAAATATTTTGGCCACACCTGTGTAAACATTATAAATACATTTTATCTGATTAGACTATTTCTGTTCATATTTGAAGTTTATCTGTTTCCTCACCTCGCACCCGTCGACCTAACAAGGACGTCACTTGTCTAGTGAGGAAGCCAAGGTCGAAAGCGAGGTCACTTCCTCTTCCGCGTGTTGTTCTAAAATTCTTTAAATGAACCTAACTGGTTTTATGACTTTTGTTTTCAGTATATCAACTTTTAGCATATGTTTACAATACACGTCTCGACAACTACTGCATTTCGTATTTTTATTCATTTTTTCTTCCTACCTCTAATATATTAAATTTGCTATTAGGCTCGATATACATAATAGTCTTTAAAATGTTCTAACTTAATTTAATAAACCATTGATTAAAAAGAAATTTATTCAAAAATAGCTATTTAGAGTTTATAAGCGATTTCAGATCATGATTCAAGCCCGCAAAGGCTCTAAACTCTGTGGATTTTAGATTGTAAGCCAACTCCAATCTTTATCTAAGTAGTGCGAGTTAAAAAAAAAAGTCATTTAAATCTAGGACGCGTTTTCGTTAGAACTAATAACTCAATCAACACGTTGAACATTAAATCAGCATCCTTATAATAATACGTAGCATAAAGATGAGTAATTATGCGATTAGATTGGCTACTAAACGTAAATTAATGAAATCTTAACATATGATACCTGTACTTTAATGTCGTCAATCGTTGATAGAAAATATCAATTTATTTATAAAGACAAAAATAGATCGAAAGCACTAATCAAGTCTATTTGAAATAATTAACTTCAATTAATTTATTATTTTTTTTAAATTTGAATTAAAATTAATCGGTTCTATAAAAGCAAATCTTCTAGTAGATCTATTTTAAAAATATAGTAAAACATGTCACAATGATCTAATTAAATTTTGCTTTTTGTCCTAATATTATATTGAACTTAAGTATTGCTTAGCAACTAATATTAAAGAGTTTTAATCTAGTTTTTAATTTTTATTTACATTAACTGGTTAAAGGACTGGTTAAGTTTTTCATTGCTGGGCAGCCTTAACCAATTTCACAGATTTTATATCAATAATAAACAACAATACGAAAGAAAATTTAATGTAGCTGACAAATTTAATAATTTTTTTTTATTTAACCTACATTTTTAAAATCTTTACAGTAATAAAAATAGGCTGTATTAATAAAAGAAACTAAATAAATTAGAAATAAAAACTTCTCAAATATTGAAAATAAATTTTTCTTGTTAGATTTATAAGATAAAATCCAATAGAAAAATATTTGACTTAAATATTTTAAAGATATTTCTAAGTCTATGAAAGTTTCTTTTTTAAAATTCGGCATTTACACATCATTGAACAATATTAGAATATATTTGAATAAATAAGTTTTATTGGTAAAGTTCCGTAAGTTAAGAGAAAATTTTCGAACGAATATTTCACAAAAATAAGAATTAAGATTTCATTTCTATGTTACATTAATAAATTTTATTATCAATACATAACAAGGCTTTCAATTTAATTAAAGTTAATAAATAAAATTCAAATCAAGTCAAATGAGATTATTTATTATCATTCTTAATTTGGCAAAGAATCCATTGTATGTGCAGTATTTGGTAGGAATAAGATGAAGTTCAGTACAAAAATTTCACAAAATGAAATGAAAAATATGAATACAAAATTTATATGTAAATAAATCATTAACAAAACACGATATTATGCTATTAAAAGAAATTGAATTATCTTGAAGGTAGCAAGAAGCATAGTGTAAATGACATGCATTTAAATTATTGTATAATTCACTGATTTACCAAATCTACAACTTTTGGTAAAGCAATGGGGAGTTAACACATCTGGAAGTACAAAACACTTGAATGTTGCATTCATTTATAAATAGTGCAGCCTAATATATGATTATTTCTATTTGAGGTCTCATACTCGGGGCTCTAAACAGGTGTTTAGTTCACTTACACGCTAATCTATGTTCTCTAAAGGTGTTATATATTGTCGAATAATAAAACTTTTATTCATTTCAGTGACTAATAAAGATATTTCGAATTCTAGAAATATAATTTTAAGTTATTAACATGCTAAATAATTAACATATTTGTCAAATTGCGCAGATATAAAATTATAAAAAAAAGGTTAGAAAACTTTTTACTTATATACAAACGCAAGTTAAAGATATATATTAATAATTAATGAATACATTATTAAATTTAATAGTATTGTAAAATATATATATATATATATACAGTATATTAGCAAGCAGTACACTTCCAACTTCGAACGACATTTAAACTAAAATGTCAACAATAGTTGAAATGATTGTACTGTATTATAAAATTGTACTAACAATTTTACTATGCAGAATAAAGCTAAAAGTTACTTTTTTAATGAAGCTATTTCATACGTAGGCTTAACTTATATGCATACATTATCACAAAAATTTCAATTTTCATTTTTCTGAAACGAAATGATTAATGTAAATAAGAAATGATTTTTTGNTATAGGCTATACTGTATATCGCATATGCCTGCTGTAAAAACTTAATTCGATAATAAGTAGGTTACGTTTAACATTTTGGAGTAAAAACAATTTAGAAAAGGGGAGCTAGAAAAAATAATAATAATAAGTTTTTAACAAGTCTACAAGTTTAACAGGTTTGTAAATCTATTAATGAAGTAAATGAAAAAGTAGAGTACATAAAACAATATAGGATTAATCGCACTTGTCAAGAAATAAACTAGTGACAACACTTCCCAACATGGCAACCCACTAGTGACAACTTCCCAACATAACAGAAATTCTATTTAGTGGCATTATTTTCAGATCACATTTAGCTTGACGCTTCCGTATCATTAATCCCATTATGCGTGACGGATGATATTTAATACTAAAAGATTAATTCGTAGATAGAGCATTCCATATTACATTTCACAATTAATCAATTCTCAAATAGATTTAACTGAAGAAACAGATCTTTAAACTAATTGTACCATAGATATTGTTAACTATAATGTATCAGTTTCGACAAATGGGCGTAATTATTTTCGTCCGTTTAAATACGATTTTTCTCTTATTCTTTTCTTATTCTAGAATTTATAAATAAACGAAAAGTCTATTCAAATAAATGCTTCAATCGATAATGTGTTTTATGGAGTTTTAATGTTGTTTTATGTAATAATTTTTACAATATTCATAGACATGGTTTTTTTTTTTTTTAAATTCGAATTTAAATCATTAGATCTTTATTTTAAATATATATGTGTGTATGTATGTATGTATGTATGTATATATTGAGGAATAATTTATTAGAAGAAGTGTGCTAGAAAATTTAATCCGAAACAAATCATTTAAGTAGTGTTATGTTGTTTTGATCTGAAAATTATTAAAATTACTTTTTATCAATCAGATTTAATGGTCAATTGATATTTGTTCTCTATTATTATTTATCCTTCATAAAAGTTTGAAGTAAATTTTCATAAAAAGTTTTAAATAAACCGCCAAAGATCATTAAACTTTTACAAGACCGTTGATTTGTGTCATGTTTACATGCAAGAACACTTGTTTTAGTAATTTTTGACACAAAACATCAATTTTACACGATCCTTATACCATTAAATTAATGCAATTTTCTTTCTAACTCATTTCCTTTATTATTAAACAATTTCTAATATAAGTTTATACAGATATAGGCTAATGCAAGTGAACTAAATTTTGTTTTCTTTGTAGATTTACTTGAAAGTCATGCTATAGTTTATTAAAATGAATGTTTTGTTATTTTAAAATTATAATGCGATTTAAGTTACTTTAAAGCAAATTGCACATACACACTCTAAATACACAATAGTAGTTTTCCTAAGACATACTGTATAATAAAAGCTTGCTTCATTTTAATTTTTTCTTAAAATTAGATTGTTCAATTTAAAATACAAATTTGAGATCATGTTAATAATTTTACGATAATAGATTTAATTATAACTTTTCGTAAAGCACTGTTAAAGGGACAAAACTAATTATTACTTGACCCGGTAAATCTTTCTTTCGCCTATGCTTGTTGAATTAATTAGTTATACATTGTTATATTAAAATGATATGTAACACTAAGATTATAAATGAAAATTTAAGTTGAAATATTAAAGACTAATTTATAATTATTTAAGGCCTATATAGTTTTCTAATATTTTCAAAACTGGAAATTTAGTATCTTAAAAAAGTATTAGAAATTTCATACTAGATCTATTGAAATCACATCGACAAACAGTAAGATCTAATTATAATTGCTTTTTGTTCAATTTTTTAATTTCATGATGTTTAGTTGCTTATTATATGTTATATTATGTACATAACGTGGACTTATTTACACAAACTTATTCTGTAGTACTGTACGTGCCACTTATCAATAAAGGTATCAATTTAAAAGTAACCTACTTGAACATGCTGTCTCTGTTGTACAATCAGTTGATCCCTGAGTTGTTGTAGTTGATTGATCATTTCTGTCAATTTTCTCTCTTTTTCACTTACACTATCTCCAGCAAGTGCTGCCCTTAATGCTTCACTCTCCACAACTACCATTGGCCTATCCTTATCCACATGTACTGTAATGGAGGGTATGGAATCCTCGCTATAATTGAAAAAGGGAAAACATTTTTTATCGTGAATTATGACTCTCTAAAAATAATTATTTTCACTGTAAAGCTACACGTTGAGATATCTTTATTTAACAAGAAATTTCATTGGTAATAAGTTTGACATCACTCTATAAATTTCATGTTGAAAAGATCTTATCACAAAGCAGAGAAATTTCAAATTTTCTCTATTTTTTATGTAATATGCACATATAATGGTTAATGTTATTTTATATTATATATGTATTTTGTATAGAATACAAATTCATGTGAAGTAAATATTTTCGATATTAAAATGAATACTTATTTATTATTATATCATTTATCTTATATATTATGAAGTATAAAAATTGAAGTAATTCGTAATTGTTATATAATACCTTAGATTAGATTTGAAATGAATTTTACTCAGCATATACTTCAATAAAAATACTGAACAATCGCATTACAAATTTAAGACTTCTCTAAATGAATGTATTGCATTAATTTTCTTCACTTTAAATTAGATTGAATTTACTTAATATGAAATTTTAGCGACAGATGGCATCATATGTTTTATATGCCCTTCAATATCATAGACGTATTTAATTGCTATTCATTATAATTAAACGTAAGTTTATATATTTATTTCGGCAATATTTGCCTTATAATATATAAAAAAACAATAACTAAAATACGGTTACATATATTACAATCACTATTTTATCATTAAATAATTCTTAGAAGAATAATATTTATCAGAATTTCAAGCCGTGGATAATTATATTATGTAAGATTTGAATTGCATATTTGTATTAAATACTGTATTACAAATTTTTGAGTTATTCTATGCATTAATGCTGTTTCACATACATATAGTATTTTCTTCCGTCGTTTTTACGGTTAAATATTTATATTTCTTCAATCTTTTAATATGTAAAAAAGCATTTAAATAATTTTGTTTAATATAACAAATAATATGATTTTGGAAGTTCATTTAAGTAGATGAATTCGAAAAAATTAATTAAAATTAACACAGATTGCAAAATGAGTTTCGTCGATTAAAAAAATGAACAGAAGTAAATATGGCAGATGTTTTGTTTACTCTCTTAATTCGCAGTCATTAAAATACAATAGCGAAATATTTTGGCCACACCTGTGTAAACATTATAAATACATTTTATCTGATTAGACTATTTCTGTTCATATTTGAAGTTTATCTGTTTCCTCACCTCGCACCCGTCGACCTAACAAGGACGTCACTTGTCTAGTGAGGAAGCCAAGGTCGAAAGCGAGGTCACTTCCTCTTCCGCGTGTTGTTCTAAAATTCTTTAAATGAACCTAACTGGTTTTATGACTTTTGTTTTCAGTATATCAACTTTTAGCATATGTTTACAATACACGTCTCGACAACTACTGCATTTCGTATTTTTATTCATTTTTTCTTCCTACCTCTAATATATTAAATTTGCTATTAGGCTCGATATACATAATAGTCTTTAAAATGTTCTAACTTAATTTAATAAACCATTGATTAAAAAGAAATTTATTCAAAAATAGCTATTTAGAGTTTATAAGCGATTTCAGATCATGATTCAAGCCCGCAAAGGCTCTAAACTCTGTGGATTTTAGATTGTAAGCCAACTCCAATCTTTATCTAAGTAGTGCGAGTTAAAAAAAAAAGTCATTTAAATCTAGGACGCGTTTTCGTTAGAACTAATAACTCAATCAACACGTTGAACATTAAATCAGCATCCTTATAATAATACGTAGCATAAAGATGAGTAATTATGCGATTAGATTGGCTACTAAACGTAAATTAATGAAATCTTAACATATGATACCTGTACTTTAATGTCGTCAATCGTTGATAGAAAATATCAATTTATTTATAAAGACAAAAATAGATCGAAAGCACTAATCAAGTCTATTTGAAATAATTAACTTCAATTAATTTTTCATTTTTTTAAAATTTGAATTAAAAAAATTAATTTGGTGTTGTATAATTGGAAATAATCTTTTCGATACCCAAATAGATCAATATTATTAGTGTTGTATTTTTGTAAATTTTGTAATTTAGTTTTTAAAATTTGAATTAAAAAAATTAATTTGGTGTTGTATAATTGGAAATAATCTTTTCGATACCCAAATAGTATAATTTAGTTCATCTTTTATAGATGAAAAGGGGCATAAGACACTTTATCTTTGGAGATTATATAAATAGTGTTAATGATGAGAATTATTGTTATTAATTGAGTTATATTTTTAAATATAAAAATTTGGTGTATTTGGTTTGCTTGGTTTTGACTTAGTTATTGTAATAAATTGACAGATTATTAAAACTCAAAAGTGTTATCTTATTTCGTCATTCTCTTGTTTATGTAAAGATAATTTAATCTAATTTTACTAGAATAATTTTTGGAAAATATTTAGTTGTGATTCATATTATTTAAGCGAGGANATTTTAAAAATATAGTAAAACATGTCACAATGATCTAATTAAATTTTGCTTTTTGTCCTAATATTATATTGAACTTAAGTATTGCTTAGCAACTAATATTAAAGAGTTTTAATCTAGTTTTTAATTTTTATTTACATTAACTGGTTAAAGGACTGGTTAAGTTTTTCATTGCTGGGCAGCCTTAACCAATTTCACAGATTTTATATCAATAATAAACAACAATACGAAAGAAAATTTAATGTAGCTGACAAATTTAATAATTTTTTTTTATTTAACCTACATTTTTAAAATCTTTACAGTAATAAAAATAGGCTGTATTAATAAAAGAAACTAAATAAATTAGAAATAAAAACTTCTCAAATATTGAAAATAAATTTTTCTTGTTAGATTTATAAGATAAAATCCAATAGAAAAATATTTGACTTAAATATTTTAAAGATATTTCTAAGTCTATGAAAGTTTCTTTTTTAAAATTCGGCATTTACACATCATTGAACAATATTAGAATATATTTGAATAAATAAGTTTTATTGGTAAAGTTCCGTAAGTTAAGAGAAAATTTTCGAACGAATATTTCACAAAAATAAGAATTAAGATTTCATTTCTATGTTACATTAATAAATTTTATTATCAATACATAACAAGGCTTTCAATTTAATTAAAGTTAATAAATAAAATTCAAATCAAGTCAAATGAGATTATTTATTATCATTCTTAATTTGGCAAAGAATCCATTGTATGTGCAGTATTTGGTAGGAATAAGATGAAGTTCAGTACAAAAATTTCACAAAATGAAATGAAAAATATGAATACAAAATTTATATGTAAATAAATCATTAACAAAACACGATATTATGCTATTAAAAGAAATTGAATTATCTTGAAGGTAGCAAGAAGCATAGTGTAAATGACATGCATTTAAATTATTGTATAATTCACTGATTTACCAAATCTACAACTTTTGGTAAAGCAATGGGGAGTTAACACATCTGGAAGTACAAAACACTTGAATGTTGCATTCATTTATAAATAGTGCAGCCTAATATATGATTATTTCTATTTGAGGTCTCATACTCGGGGCTCTAAACAGGTGTTTAGTTCACTTACACGCTAATCTATGTTCTCTAAAGGTGTTATATATTGTCGAGAAGTATAAAAATTGAAGTAATTCGTAATTGTTATATAATACCTTAGATTAGATTTGAAATGAATTTTACTCAGCATATACTTCAATAAAAATACTGAACAATCGCATTACAAATTTAAGACTTCTCTAAATGAATGTATTGCATTAATTTTCTTCACTTTAAATTAGATTGAATTTACTTAATATGAAATTTTAGCGACAGATGGCATCATATGTTTTATATGCCCTTCAATATCATAGACGNTTATTAGTATTAAAAGTAGGTTGAAACATTCAATTAAGAGTTTTCATGAAAAATGTAATTTGTATCGCTTAAATCTAACCGTGTTACGCATAGCTCACGGGCACTGGACAATAAAGGATACGAGATAAGCGTTTAGAACTAGTATACTACATTAATTCAAAAGTTACAGTAACATTTGTCAAAAATAAATAAAAAAATAAGGAAAGTTCAGTTTTATTTTATGAATTAAACTTTGATAATTTGACGTTTAAAAGTACGGAAGAGAATATTTAAAGTAAAACGAGAAAAATTAACAATTATGATTAAAGGTTACAACTAATAAATATTCTGACATATTTGTAATATTTTTATGCATATCTTAATTATAATAATCTCCACATTTGATTTCATAACAATTATTACAGTTTTCAAAAGTTTAATGGAGGAAAAAATCAAAATGAAAGTAATTCTATGAAAGAATAAAATCAAAACTTTTTTCCCTCTTTTAAATTCTAATTTTTATCGGTCTTTATTTCTGACCTACATCAAATTTTATTTACTAGTTTTATTCGAATTATTATTTTACTATTCTCTATTATTATTCTGTAGTTGGCTTCAAATAAACCAATCTTTCAACAAGATATTATTAACGTTCTCTGAAAATGAACATTTGAAAGTTGTGTGAATTATGACATGAAACAGATGTCGATAAAATAAGAAAATGATAGGAAAAAATTTGGTAATAAGTAATGCTATCAATTCAGATTGTTAAATTAAATGAATGTGAATAGTGTTAGTGTTTAAGAATAAAATGAATTTATTTATTCAAATCAAATGTTTTTCACATATACGTTACTGAGATCATAGACTTGAAACTTGTATTAATTCGATACAGATGTAAGCTAACGTCTTTGATTTATATAGATACAAATTTATGTTTTAGAAGAGAGATAAGAGTTTAGATTATATATATTATTCAATCACATTAAACTATACAAGTTTTCAAAATTAATATTAAGGGCGTAAATGATAAAGAGTTTTAAACTTGCAAAGCAAAAATATGTCTATCATAATTTGTAACTTTAATAAAGTACTGTATATCAATAATTAATAATAATTTTGTAAGAAGTTATTAATATTTTTCTAATTATAACTCTAAGATGATGTTACAAATGGATAAAACATG